GGTTCTACTAATCTTAAGGGTTCTGTATATAATAACAATAAAACTATATATTTTTCTAAACTAATGATTGTTTTCATAATTCTTATATATTAATAAGATTGAACCTGCAATTTTATATTTTTTTCTAAAATATTTTCAGTTTTCAATGGACCTTTATTTTATTTTACTTATATCCAATGCTGAGAATTGAACTGGGTGCTTCAAACATGCTATGCAAGCACTCTACCACTGAGCAACAACCCCATTCGCTACAACTTTATTTTTCCCATAAAAATCATATTTTCTAATATTGGAAATATTTTTATGCTCCTTACTCTTTTTGTGAATTCTGATCCTTTTCCTATCTAGTTCTCTCCTACACCAGATATAAGCAATATCTACCATTTGTCATTGATCAACTGTAAATTCACATACTTACCACTTAAATACATAATTAATTTGAAGGACTTCAAGTCAATTTTTGTTTGGATCTGCACAGATAATGGATATCAATGTCCATGACTTGGTTTTGACATTTGAAGGAAGGGATCTCATGATACCTAAGGACAGAAAACCAATGTAATGTTTCCCTTCAGGAATATATTATGGAATGAGATGCTTTGTGTATGTAGTTTTCTTTAGTTTTATTGATACAACTGGGGAGAAAAAAACTTATACACTCTATGTTCTAGAGGTATTGTTGTATTATAGTTAATGACTAAAGGGAAACACCCAGGGAGAAAATGAAATCACAGTATATAATTTAAATGTAATAAGTGAATGAAGGAAGAGGGGAAAACATTACCACTGAAACTGAACACTGAAGGAGACATTTCTACACTAAAAATGGTGTCCATGGGGAGCAGGAACAAACATGAGCAGAGCAGATATACTTTTCTGATTATCTTAACTTTCATTCTTATACTTGGGCCATCAGGAAGGGTGGCATGTGCAACAGCCTCACAGGAATTGCATAAGTCAAAAGAAAACATCCAGAAACTGAGCAGGAATGAGTGCATGCCTGTGCCAGGTAGTGTAATAAAAGAGGAAGAAATTACCTTCATCAGTCAGTTCTTAGATGACACCCAGGTTTTTGTGCCCATGTGACTGAACCATAAGCTGTGGATAGACTGCTGCATAGATCTAAGGATGGGATAGATTGCTGGGAACAGGAATCAGGTCCTTATGTCTCTGTGAAGAATAGTCTAGGCCCACAGTGCTAACTTTTATTAGAACTTGATAGTATTTTATCAAGAAAATCAGAAATAAATATATACTTCCTTATAATTGCAATTATGGGAGCTTTTCAATTTGATGTGGATTAAAGTCAAAGAAAATCAAATATAGCTTTTTGAAATAAAGATTATATAGTTTTGTGTTTGTTTCTTTAGATATCTTGCAATATCAGCATCTATTTAAATGTAGTGTATATACATGTATTAGTAGAATACTTTTTAAAATTCAAATTTTTTATATGTAGGGTTGTAGCTCAGTGATAGAGTGCTTGCCTCACATGCATGAGGCCCTTGGTTTGATTCTCAGTACCACATAAAGATAAATAAATAAAAATAAAGATATTCTGTCCATCTACAACTAAAAAAAAATTAAAAAATAAAGAAAAAGAAAAAAATGAGCCAGGTAAACTGGTGCATAATTGTAATCTTAGTTACTTTGATGGCTTAGGCAGAAGGATTGCAAGTCTAAAGCCAGCCTCCACAATTTAATGAGATACTGTCTCAAAATACAAAGAGGTGGGGATGTGGTTCAACGGTTAAGTACCCCTGGGTTCAATCCCTGATACCAAAATGGGGGGAAAGGGAGCAAAAGAAAGGGATGGTTATGACTTTGACAGTAATTAAAAGTTTCCAAGTGAATAATTACAGTAAACAAAACCAACATTAAAACATATCCTCCTGACACTGACATATGGAACACCACTTTCATTTTTTTAATGTTATCTTTAGTGTGAATAATATACTTTACTTATACACTGATATTTTGCAAGTACTTTGGTTTTATTTTTCTTATATCTTAGCCCCTTAAACTGTAGATGATTAATTTCAACATGGGAATCACAAACATTTAAAATATGAACACTATCTTGTCAAGCTCCAAAGCATAACTGGAACATGATCTCAAATAAATGAAGAAAAGAGTACTATGTGGAGCAAACATTCTAGTTAGTTAAGAGCCATATGTAGAAAGACTTATGCTTTCCCATATAACAGTGTATCCTTAGAATATCAGACAGAATTAAATCAAAGGAGATCAGGATGATTATGATAGTAGCCATCTCAATGGACCCAGCAAAGTACCATGTTGAAGCTGGTTTGTTTGAGTAGCAAAACAAGAATTTTGGAGAAGAAGAGAATTATCAGAAAAATATCTAATTTCATTGGATGGACAAAAGAATATTCTAAAATTGCCCACGGTGTGTATAGTAGAATGCAGAGTTCCACCAACATAGGATACTAAGATGAGTTGGCTCATAGACTCTGGGTGACATTCTCAACTGTAGATGGGCACAGAGCAATCAGAAGTCCATGAAGCCAACGTTAATCATTTGGTGGTTCCAAACTAAGAGGAAGAAATGACTGAGTTGCACATCCATAGAATGAAAGTACTTTTCCTTGGGATACAGTCGACTAACGTACTGAAATGATAACTGTGGAACAGCAGCCATCTACTCAAGACTACAGACTCAGAATACATTACATCAGATTGTGGTGGCAGGAATCACCAGAGATGGATAAAATGAGTCCTCTATTCATGAGTATAGTACAAAGATAAATTGCTAGAAACAGAAAGCAAAAGATGATATATAGTTTAATTATCTGTGAATCTATTCAATAATAATAGAGTAACTTCATTGACATTCTCCATAATGAAATTTTGTGGAAGAAAAGTGAAGATAACCATAAATTAGAATTCCTACAACTATGAAAGTTTGAATAATACTGTGACTCTAAAGAACATGCAGTACACATACATCTACATATATGCATATACTTGGAAATGTGGGTGTCTGTGAATGTTTGTATTTATTCCAGTGTGCAATTTCAATGCAGTATATCAAAAGACATTAACATGACAGGGTTTCCAGTGTTAGTGCCACACATAACAGAAACAAGTATACGTGAGGGGTGTTTACACAGTGCTTGAACTCCTGCCAGGAAACCATGGGATCAACTACATTATGTGCAATGAATTCTATTGCTTCTTTTCATACCAAATCACACTATAATCCAAAGTGGGTGACTAAAAACAAATCCTTCTGACATTCAAACACATGAGATATTTTATCAGGGAACACAACAGAAGAACAGAACCAGAATTCTGGGTCTGTCATCAATAGAATGATTTGCTATAATCCACTCACCTGTATAATGAGAATTTTAGTATTTATTTTACATTATTGAAGTAAATATTGAAGAACAAATTATGCTAAAAGTTGAATCTTTTAAATAATTTTAATTGCAGGATATGCTGAATTTGCTTGGTTCTATATAGTATACTATAAGGAATAAACTCAGTGAAATGTCTTTTTGGGTTTTGATTGCTTCCTTTGCCAATGTTTTGTATAGCCAATTTGTTTTTTGGAGACTAAAATCTCTATGAATTGTGTGATAGTTTGAAAATATATATGGGTGAATATATGCAAATTACCAGAATCCCATTTTCCACATTGTAATGAGCTTACTTTTGCTTTCTGCAAATGAGATGTTTCAGCAAAATATCTCTTGAGAAGGTATTTTATATTAAATGCTGAAAGAAAAGTTTAATGGATATGAGTAAGTATGTGAATGCACATTAAAGGGATTCAGAGTTATCAAAAGAAAATAAGATTTTTAGAAACTGCATGGTGTGGAATCAATGTATAAAAATTAGTAAAAATCTATATGAATAGAAGATAGAAATATCCAAATGTCTTGGACTTTGTGATAAAAACACATTTGCAAAAGAGAGAGAGGGAGGGAGGGAAAGAATCATATCCATTTATTCAGCACTTGCTGTAGAAATGGATAGTTAGGAGAATTATGTTATTTAATTTATATAACAAATTAAATAACTAATAATTGCTTGTCACAATTCAATCTCACATTTCAGAGTACATGTTTTACTGCCTCCTATTACTCTGTGGCTTTATTACACAACTAGACACTACCCATACCCCAAAGTTCATTGTTATTTTATTTGGTGCATTAGAGTTATAAGTAAAAATGGAATTCATTATGATATATTCACAAAAGCATATAGCATAAGTTGGTCAATTTCATTCTGCACTTGTTCTCCTTATCCATCCCTCTTCCATACTAATTTTACATCAGCATATTTCACAATAGCCAAGTTAGGGAACCTGGTAGGTATTCCTCAATGATATGGTATATATACACAAGGAGTTTTATTCAGCCATAGCAAATAATAAAATTATGCCATTTGCTGGTAAATGGATGGAACTACAGATTGTCATGCTAAATGAAATAAGCCTAACTCAGAAACGCATTTGTGGAAGCTAGAGAGTAAAACAGTGGGTGGTAGGGAAGTGGGACAGGTATTATGAAAATGAAAAGGCAAAGAGCTTTGTTTGTTTTGAAAATTGCTTTTGATGATATTATTCTTTCATATTGCTAGTGATTTTCAGGGTTGATTTTTTAAAATTTATTTAAATAAGGCCAGTGGAATTTTAAAATAATTTTATTGAGTCAGAAGATCACTAGGGTTTCTATGGAGACTTTAAAATACCAGTCTAAATCACAATGGAATATAATCATGGCAGCCAGGTGGAGCATTAACTGGATTCTTTCTATCTTTGCTTTCCTAGCTCAGCTTTATACTTATTCTTCTTAGTCATTTTCCTTTTGATTAACCTCCTTCTGCCTCAACATTCCCCATGTTTTCCTCTTTTTATTTTAGATTGCAATCATTTTTATTTGCCCACTCTTTCCTCTTCTCCCTTTTTCAACCCTTATGTATTATACTACCAAGTTTAATAACCAATTTTTTAACCTGTTCAAGAACAAATGTTCATTGAACTAAAAGAAGATGTAATGAATGAGCTACAGTAAGTGAAAGACCACTTCAATAAAGAGATAGAGATTCTGAAAAAGGATCAAATCCTGGAAATGAAAGCATCAGTAAATCAAATTAAAAATTTTAGTCAAAAGGATCATCAATAGATTAGATCAGAAAGAAGAAAGATTCTCAGGCCTCAAAAACAAAATAAATCTCAGAAATAGGTCTAAAATAAGGAAAAAGTGTTAAGAGACCATTACCAGCATATTCAAGAAATCTGGGACAACATTAAGAGGACAAATATAAGAATCTTTGGCATAGAAGAAGGCACCAAATTAGAAAATTTAAAAAAAGCACAAATTTTTCAATGAAAAGATATCAGAAAAATTTCCAAACCTTGGAAATTCAAGCACAATAGTAGTTTAGAAACTCAAATATGCAAGAACAAAAAAGATCCTTTCAAAGTCACATTATAATCCAAATGCCTAATACACAGAATGTATATTTGTTCTCACACATACAATTTATAAGGCTAGAAAAGAAAATTAGTAGGTCACATTTAGAGATTAGGCAATTAGATTTTCTAATAATTTCTTATTCCAAACCCTAAAAGCCAGGACAGCTCAGAATAATAGATACCATGATTTTTATATGAAGCAAAACCATTCTTCAGAACTGAAGATGAAACAAAAACTTTTCAGGATAATCAGAAACAAAAATAATTTTAAAAAAGAAATAATGAATTATTTTACACAGAAGAAATGAAAACAAAATATCAGAGTCAGCATAAGTTAAATATCACTAGAAATATACTCAATTAAGGGAGAATTAAATCCAAATTAAGCACTAGAAATAAATAAAAATGACAAGAAAGAGAAATCATCTATTGTAACATTAAATTTAATGTTGTAAACTCTCCAATAAAAAGACAAGTATTGACAGAATGTTCTGTTAATAAGAGATTGAACTTACTGGGAAAGACATCCACATGGTGAAGGTGATAGGAAAAAGATATCCTATGTAAATGGAGTTTGAAAGACAAAATTAATCAGAGGAGAAAGAAATCACATCATACTGGTTAAAGGAACCATCCAATGACAAGATTTAATGATTATAAATATTTATGCCCTAAATTTCAATGCACCTGTATACATTAAACAAATCCTTGTCAATATAAAAAATCAAATTAATCCCAATATGATTAAACTGGTGATTTCAACACTTCTCTCTGACCAGTAGGGAGGTCCTCTCGACATCAACTAAATATTCTTCACAATCACATACACTTAACAGACATCTGTAGAATATTCCATTCATAAACAATTAAATTTATGTTCTTCTCAGTAGCATATGAAAACTTCTTTAATATAGACCATATATTAGAACACAAAGCATCTTAGAAAATACAAAAAAGAACAGATAATCCCTTGCATCCTATTAGATCATAATAAAATTAGAAATCAACAGCTAGATGAAAAATAGAAACAATTTTAATACCTAGAAATTAAAGGAAATACTTTTGAATGATGAATTATTAATGTAAGAAATTAGGGAAGAAGTCAAAATAATTCATAAGGAATAGATGAAGGTAGAAATATAGCATATCAAAATCTCTGGAATGGTATGAACACAGCTGAAAGAGGAATGTTTATAACATTGAGTGTCTAGTAATTTAAAAAAGAAAACATAAAAATACCAAATAAATATGTTAGTGGTATATACCGTAAGGCCCTAGAAGAGAAAGAGCAAACTAAATCCCAAAACTTGGTTGTTCTATATTTTCATCTTGCAATAAGATTATATAAATATTGCAACTTTAATTTTCTATTAAAAATTTATTTGAAAATTTTCTATTCTGTTGATTTGACTCTCAAGGATTCTGTGCTTTTTCAAATAAACAGTAGAAGACACTTCTTAATTTTCAAATAAATACTTTTCAATAAGGGGCTGGGGATGTGGCTCAAGCGGTAGCGCGCTCGCCTGGCACGTGTGTGGCCCGGGTTCCATCCTCAGCACCACATACCAACAAAGATGTTGTGTCCGCCCAGAACTAAAAAATAAATATTAAAAATTCTCTCTATCTCTCTCTCTCCTCTCTCACTCTCTCTAAAAAAAAATACTTGTGAATAAGGAAGCATTAAATTTATCAGTAAGTTTAAGATTGAACTTAATAGTTCAACATTCAGTTGATGGTTAGTGTTGATACTTATTAAATAATTCTGTATTCTGTCATAAGTTATTTTTATATCATTTTTGTTATATGCATATTGTAGGACTTTGATAAAATCCATATGTTAAATTCCCAGAAAGAGGAGACTGGATTTTAGGGAATATCTGCATCAACTCAATTGCACATAGATAATTAGAACCAGAGCTGGACGTAGGTCCTATCATTAGTTGGCTTTTCCACTGAGGGATCATTTGTTTAACCAAGGGCCCAAGTTACTTCATGTCATCATTTCCATTATGATATTCATTTTTATATTCCATTCACCTGCTTATTTGGAAGAAAAAAATTAGCTTGTTGATTTTCTATCCCAGAAAAGAACCAGTGTTTTTCTCCTTGGGGCATCCCTGTGGACTTTAAAAGGCTCAATCAGTTAGTACTAGAGTCCAAATGTACAGTGTTCATACTAACCTATACCTGAGGGAGCGATTCATTTCACTGGTAAGTTAAAGACATTTCATCACTTAGAAAATATTTTAGAAGCTATCATCTTGAATCTGAAACTAATGTATAAACTTGAAGAGTTAAATCAGAGAGAAGACGGATTCTAGTTAATTCAAAGTTGTATTAGAAATTGAATAGTAGATCTTCCAGTGAATTTAACAGAGAAAAATACAAAGGACTCTCTCCATATTTCAATCAATAGGACTGTAAATTAGAAATTTACTTTTACTTTCATGATTAAAGATAACAGAAGAGATGCAGTAGAATAATAGGCCATATTTAAAATATAGGAAAAATAATTAGATGGATAAAAAACTCTCAACCAACCAATGAGGACATTTTATTTTGGAATTGTTATTTTCTCCAAATGGAGAGAAACTAATTTAAATTTATTTTACGAGTTAGCCAATTGATTTAGAAGCCATTGAGTGTTTTAAAAAGAATTGTGGTTTATTTAAATTTAATTACTTTAAAAGAAAAATTTAAATATACAAGGGCCCTACCTTCTATTATTTCTAGTGGATGATATCTGCAGAGTTAGGACATGCCACACTGTCTATAATAGGGTTATATAGAAATAGTTCAGAATGTGGAGTCAGAGGGATGTGTACTGGAGTCCTGGATCTACTAAAAACTGTGTGACTAACAACTCTTCCAGACTAGGTGGGCCTCAGTTTTCTTGTCCATATAAGGACACTGGGTTGTTTAGATTTTAAGTTGCTGGGTGGATGGAATAAGATAATGTACACTAAATGTGTAACCCCATGTTAACATGAAATCCAAATATGTGGCTGTTGCTATAGTAACTTTTGATTTCATATCATAACTTGACATTGTTAGTGATGCTGTTCTTTTTCGATTCTGATTTATGATTTTTGACAAGAAAACTTGAACTGATTTTATTTTCATTTTTCAGTTAGGACACGCTTTGTGAAAATGAAAGATCTATACTTGGGTCTTTCTAGCCTCTATTAAAAAAATTAACTTGTCATAAATGCAACCATTTCTAATTTTCTAAAATCTTTATTAAGAAGAATGCTGTTTGAAGAGTAGCTTGGAAAAAGCGACTAGACCTCATGTTATTTCTCTGCCATTCCTCCATTTAAACTGTGAAGTATATAAATCCTCTAATGGGACATGGTTTGAAATAAAATAAATAATCCACAAACTACATTCTTATTCCACAGATAAGATCAAACCTATCAGATGATCCCAGAACATTATACAGACAAGAGTATAAGGTAAATTAAGTAGACATACTATTATTTTACTGACATGGCTATAAGTAGAAGAGTGACAGTATCAAATCACAAATGTGTGTCTAATTTAGAAGACAAACCTTGCTTCTGGTTTTCAAAGCTTCATTAAAATTTTGATTATATATCTCTCAATTTATTTTGTCATCTAATAAAATTTGGAATTCATATCTCACATCTGTGCTTTCTTCACACATAATTAAAACTTCAGGTATTCAAACGAGCTACTTATGAGAATTTTGTCCAAACTTAGTTACACTTTAGAAAGTCACTAGGCTCTAAATCTTTAATTATAGGTCTTTACAGTCCAAATACAATTTGCATCAGAAAGCAAAATTTAAAATTATAATTTGTCTGAAATTTCTGTAATGTATATAAGTCAAAATATAGTTTATGGATTCTTTTAGAATACGAATAGTATATTCTTCCCAATTTGCTCCCATACTTTATTTGTGCTTCTTCCCTATCTAACACAGTTTTAACCCTCATCTCTACAGTAAATAATTTTGTAAGATCTATTGATTTTTATGCATGCTTGTGAAAGACAGAGGGTGATGGAGAGAGAAGTTTACAGGAGAAAAAAATAATATGAAATTTTAAACAGGAAAAATTTTGTGGTATCTAAATCACACATTAATTCATACTTGTACTATTTATTGACTTTTAAAAACTATATTATCATTATGAAATTTATGAAAAATTATGCATCAAGACATTTATGTGTTCTTCTGAATAATAGGAAAGCTGTCTGTATATAGAAAGAAACAGAATCTAACATAGCCTTATTTCACTATCAAATTTTTAAAGAATGTGAAGAGCATATGTTTTCCTGTTCTGCTCTATCCCCACATGTATAAAAGTATTTGTTGTATATATTAGCAAAATCTTTCCATTAGAACAGTGATGTTACTTGTAGGATAATATAAACATGGGGCTTCTCTTTCTAAACAGTAGTTTTATATATTTATTTCTTTAGCATGTGAATGTCTCAATATAATCAAACTGTAGCACTTGTCAACTCATAAATCATTTGCTCATCATTTGAATTTAGCTTGGACCTAAGTGCATTGTGGTCTTTCATCTTTGTAAAATCTTTTCATCTATATATGCTAAAGGAAAAACAGATTCCTCATGATAGAATCTTCCTTCCAACTTCTGTAGGTCCAGTATGTAACATATAATATGTTCTTCAGTAACTGAACTGAGGCTCTCAGTATAGAAACAGATTCATCTTTGACTATTTTTGCTGTTGATGTTGGAGTTGCTCATGTATTTTCTGATTTATCATTTACTGAATGAGAAAGACTTAGTAATTGAGGGAAATGCTGAGAAATTAAACACTAGCAAATATAGTGATTTTATTATTTCAGGAATTGCTTCTATTCTAGCTAATAAATATTTTTATTGGCTATTGTCAAGTGACATTTGTTTCAGCGTTATTTTTTAAATTCCATTAAAAACTATAATATATTATGAATGGGCATAATTTATTTATTTATTTTTTTAAAGAGAGAGGCAGAGAGAGAGAGAGAGAGTTTTTTAATATTGATTTTTCAGTTTTGGGGTGACAAAACATCTTTGTTTGGGGGACACAACATCTTTGTTTGTATGTGGTGCTGAGGATCGAAACCAGGCCACATGCATGCCAGGCGAGCGCACTACCACTTGAGCCACATCCCCAGCCCGGGCATAATTTATTTTTGACACAAATATATCTAGAGCTAAATTCAGGGACATTGCAAGTAAAAGGAAAGACAAATTAGGAAACATCTTACAATGTCATTAAATAAAATTTTAAAAAACAGTAATGTTAAAATTAACTATCAAGGTAAAACATGAACAACTTAGTGAACCATATTTTGAGGTGACAGAAAACAAAATAACTTATCACTGTTTTTATTTTAAAAATAAAATGTATCTCCAGAATTTTATTGACTGTTCCATTTATTGAAATATGGAAATGGTAGGAGACCTTCAGTGATACACAAAATTATAAGAGGTTATGAGGGGCAAGGGGGAGGGGGAAAAAAGGGAGAGAATTGAACAACAGCAGAGGAGGTAGAGAGGGAAGATGGAAGGGGAGGGGAGAGGAGGGGGGATAGTAGGGGATAGGAAAGGTAGCAGAATACAACAGTCATTAATATGCCATTATGTAAAAATGTGAGTATGTAACAGAAGTGAGTCTGCAATATGTATTTGGAGAGTTCAAAACCCAATTGAGTCAAATGTATGAAAGATGATATATCATGAGCTCTGTAATGTTTTGAACAATCAATAAAAAAAATTAAAAAAAAGAAATAAGGAAATTATCAGGAAGAGTAAATAACATAATTTTGGTAGAAATCCAGTATGACAACTTCAAATACAAGTGCATCCCATTTACTAGTCATCTGCAAACTTTAAAAACTTAAATAATGTGGACATCTCTTTTTTTCTCAATTCTATTTGACTCGATCTTCTGTTGTGTGCTTCATTGCTGCCCTATAAAAACTATAAAAATTAAGAAAGAAATTCTCATGTACTTTGTAGTATAACAAGGACCTATATGCAATTGTGTGTTTACCACTACAACAGTTTGGATTTTAAAAAATGTTTATATTAATTTGTCTTTATGAAATTTAAGATGACATAATATCAGAATGAGTGCAAAAAATTAACAGAAAATGAATGGAAACAAAAGCAAGGTATTTTGGCATAAGAAAATTTTAGCATGGTAAATTCAGCCAACACATGGATTAAAACATTTGTCCTTTTCTTTATACAGCAAAATGTGTCCATTTGGGTCAAACTTTGCTAAAACTGTTTATCATATTGCACTGAGGAAATCATGACACCAGTCTAAGGAACAAACATGAGTATATAATTGGATGAACTCTATCAATGCAATAAATTGCATTTAGAAGAAGTAAATAACATAATTCAGAAGGCTGTCATCAGACATGGATATACACAAAATTCAGTTGAAGAATATAACAGAAGTCACCATGTTTGTATTGATGGGCTTTACGGATGATTTTAACCTGAAATTCTTCTTATTTTTTCTATTTCTTGGCATCTACCTTTTTACTTTGGTAGGAAATTTGGGACTGGTTGTGTTGGTCATTGAGGATTCCCGACTCCACAACCCCATGTACTATTTTCTGAGTGTCTTATCATTTTTGGATGCCTGCTATTCTACAGTTGTCACTCCAAAAATGTTGGTTAATTTTCTGGCAGAAAATAAATCCATTTCCTTTCTGGGGTGTGCCACACAGATGCTTCTCTTTGTTACATTCGGAAGCACAGAATCCTTTCTCTTGGCTGCCATGGCTTATGATCGCTATGTGGCCATCTACAACCCACTTCTGTATTCAGTGAACATGTCACCCAGGGTCTATGTGCCACTCATAGTGGCTTCCTATGTTGGTGGCATTTCACATGCTACTATACACACAGTGGCCACTTTCCGCTTGTCCTTCTGTGGGTCCAATGAAATCAGACATGTTTTCTGTGACATCCCTCCTCTCCTTGCTATTTCTTGTTCTGATACTCACATCAACCAACTTCTCCTCTTCTACTTTGTGGGCTCCATTGAGATTGTCACTATCCTGATTGTCCTGGTCTCCTATGGCTTCATCCTGTTGGCCATTTTGAAGATGCATTCTGCTGAAGGGAGGAGGAAAGTGTTCTCTACCTGTGGCTCCCACCTGACTGGAGTTTCTATTTATCATGGGACAATCCTCTTCATGTATGTGAGACCGAGTTCCAGCTATGCCTTGGATCATGACATGATAGTGTCAATATTTTACACTATTGTGATTCCCATGCTGAATCCCATTATATACAGCTTGAGAAACAAAGATGTAAAAGAGGCAATGAAAAGATTGTTTGGGAAATATTGTGTTGTAAAAAAACTCTGTATGTAGTATTCAGTAAACCTAAAATTAATGCTGGGATCATTTTTCTATGGTTAGAAACTAGTAAGAAAAATATGCTGTTTCAGTTAATAATGCAATAGATCCCAGAATATTTCTAATTAAAAAGTTTATCTGTTCTCCAATGCAGCATTTGCCAATATAAATTCATTATATTTATTTATACTTAAGGGGATCCAAATTAAATATTTTTTTTCATAACTACATTTTTGTAATCATTGTTTATTTGATTTTAACTTGCTACAACCTTATATTTTTTCCTCAGAATTTGATATATCCTCACTTTGTTTATATTGAATCTTTAGCATTCATTGTGATGATACTTCCCATTCTGCAATTCCTGTGAAGGTCACCCCAAATGTTATTTATTTTTTCTTTCTTGTACCTTGGTATACTAAGATTACTAAGATACATCCAAGCTTTTGACATGCATTTCGCCTTATTTGCCTTACATCAATTATTGTTATTCCCATATTAAAATCTTTCATTGCCATTGCTCCCTCACAGACATTGATGGAGATGTCATGATGATGGAGATCACAGACAACTATTTTGCAACTACTTTTAATATAGTGAAAATAGATTTTAATATTTATTTAGTGTGCACTTATGAATGTGGAAAAAAAGAAAAGTATGACTTAGAAATTAATCTCCCACTACATTGGTAGAGATCTTACGGAAAGCAGTATGGAAATTCCTCAAAAAACTAAAAACATAACTGCCATATGATCCAACAATCCCATTGTTGTAAAAACATCTGAAAGAGTTTGAGTCAGCATGCTGAAGGCATATCTGTGCTCCCATGGTCATTGTAGCATTATTTATAGTAATTAAGTATGGAACCTAAGTGACCATCAGGGGATGAGCAGATGACAGATATGTGATAAAAACACATCAGAGAACACTATTTAATCTTTAAGAAAACAAAATTCTGTCATTTAGGACAAATTAGATTAATTTAGAGGACATTATGCTTAATGAAATCAGTGAGGCACAGAAAAGCAGATACTACATAAACTCACAGTAGTAGATTCCTAGATTGTACAGTTTTGCAAGTTACTCACTGAAAAGTTTCCAATTCCATTAGATGTTTCAGAATAGAATGAATCAAGAGTGAAAATAGAATGAATTTTAGGGTGAAGATGTATTATTATATAAAATCATATACCAATTTATGTTCTATTTAATTTTATCTCAAATATTAGCATTATATTGTCCTTTTTATATATTTATATAGACTATAAATGCATGCATGTATGTGTTTTATTCTGTCTCAAAAGTCTGTAGTAAAAATGAAAATAATTGTTCTGAAGAAAAAAATAATAAATATAATTTTCCTTTCAAGGTATTATGCTTGTTTTTATGTTGTTAATTATGTACTTATTGAAAGTACCACTAGGTGAATAGTATCTAAAACTAATAAGTATTTCATGAAGAACAGTAATTTAAACTATTAATAAAAATAAGCACTATTTTCAGTTAGGCTTAAGTACTAACAATATGAAAGAAAAATGATTAGAAATAATTTAAAGTTAAAGGAAATAGAAAACAAATCCCTGTAGAGTCCTGTGTTTAAGTAAGTTAGTATTCAATGAGTTTTCAGTATATGAATTCAAATTTTTAATTATTAGCTCACAATATAGCACTAGTTAGTAGACAGATTTTATTGATTGTTTATTAAACTACTTTTTTTTTCATATTGACCTACAGGAAGCATGTGTCAGTTTTGAGTAAACATTATCCACTGCAAATAATATGCTATCTAAATTGAAGTACTCATAATGTACTTCAAGCTGCAGTTTTGATATGTAGACAAATTCCATCAATAGGAGAGATGGCCATTTGGGTTAGAAATAGTGGTGAAAAGAGAAGAAAATCACAATTTTCTGAGAAATGCAAATTCAGGGTTATCTAGAAGAAATAAGTATCAGAAGAATATATTTCCATAGAAATTTGGAAAAATAAAGGGAAATTACATAATGAATACTCAAAATGAAGTGTCAAGGAAAAATTTTGGGAAGCCATATATATTTATTTTAAATAAAAAAATAGAATATACGAAGTATTCTTTACTTAAATACTTTTTAATGTCTTTAATACTTTAAAATGCATTAAATAACTATGTCCTTTAATGAATTTTCAATAACAAAATGTATTTAACTTTAAAAAAGTTCAGTGTATAGATAGAAACCACCTCCAAGTGCCCTTGTTTTATTTCTTTCAAAGTGCTATGGGAAAAGTGATACAAACTTTATCCAAAGAGAGGTAGAAAAAAATTATTTTATGCACATGAGATAAAAACAGATTGGAAAGAAATAATAAAAAGAACTTCTATGAGTTTGATGAGATCAATCTATTTTAAGTGTAATTAGAATTAATTTGAATGTCAACACCAATACAATTCTTGCTATCAGTTCAACAACATACTTGGTCCAAAGATTTGTGGTCTGAAAACCTGTTATCACTAGCCTTGATAATTAAGAGCCATATGTGGCGTTAGACTTTCCTTCCAAATTGTACCTCTCTTTAAAATATCAATAATTTAAAATTTCCAAGTAGACATAGTAGGGTACAGATAACAGATTAATTAAACATGTGAATTAATATGTGTTTAAAGCAACTTCCTTTAAGTATGCCTCTTTTTATTTTTGGTTATAAGTCTGAGATACCTATATAAGTGAATTTCTTTCATCAGTTGTGTTTTTTCCAAAATTTATTGTTTCACAAATCTAGTACTAAAATTAAGTCATTGAAAAATGCATGTACCCACAGCTGTGAGCCTAACATTTTATTCATTGGCAATATTTAATATATTTACTTTGTGATTATTAATTTATGTTTGAACATTATTGCATCACACTAAATCTAATGAGTATTATCATTACAGTTTTTACTTTGCTAACTCTTTATTTGTTTCAATTAGTGTATAAAGAAGCTTTATGAATTGTGAACTATGTTGATACACACCCCCATAAACACACCAGATCACCACAGTCCCATTTTGCTATATTACAGTGGTTTTGTTTTGTTCTGGGTAAATACGGTAGTGACAAAAAATGCAATGCTAAGCATTTAAAAAAAATGTGTTTCAAAAGCATTGCTTCTTTATATGCTAAAGAGAAAATTAGTTTGGATATGGCTAAGTCAACATGCACACATATTGAAAGAATAAAAATTAAAAAGAGATAATGACTGATTCTTGAAGATTTGCTTATGTAAGATCAAATGGAAAGCCACTTCTATGAATGAAACTGGAAGAGAAAGCAAAGAATTGAAATATTGTGGGCTTAATGTTGAAATAAATTTGCAAAGGAGAAGAAAATTTATAACCTATGCCTAATAAATACTTATTGCAGAACTGAAATTCCGTGGCTATTCATTCATTGCGTCTTTATATCTTCTCTCAGAAATAACAAAGGCCAGAGGCAAGATTCAATTCAAGGTCTCCCTCATCATAGTAAACACCCTTTTCACTCTTTTCCTATTATACCATCAATTCATTCTACATATGCCTCCTGTAAACTTAAACAAAATATTTCATAACATTTTTGGATGATATTTAAGCCAATAAAAATAGAAAAACAAGAAATACAGAGTAATCTAAAGTGATTCTTAGCTTACATAGGTATGTGAAACAAAATACAAACAGATGGTTTGTTTGACAAATTATATTTAAAAATGTTCATTAAAACTTGGAAAAGAAAACATAACTTGAAATTTTAAAACTGAAGTAGTCATCCAACCGCAGCAGAATATTGTTGGGGTCAGCAATTTTTTCAGGCACAGAATTAGCAAGGAAAACAAGTTAATAACAGGACCTGTAAGACATGGAACCATGAACTTTCAAAACCCATAGCTAAAAAGAAAGGACAATTTACCAACTGAGAATCTCAGCAAAATCAAGTTGAAAAGAGAGAGGAGCCAGCGCAGGTGGCAATTTACAGGTGAATGACCACACCCACTTGCTCCCAGGCTCAATGCAGCCAGCCTCAGCAAATTAGGGAGGCCCTAAGAAACTCAGTGAGACCCTCTTTCTAAATAAAATACAAAAGAGGGCTGGGAATGTGGCTCAGTAGTTAAGTGTCCCTGAGTTCAATATTCACTCCAAAAAAAAAAAAAAAAAAGATTAACAGTCAATTGATTTTGACAAAGTTCTAAGGAAAATGCATAAACAAAGGATTTTTTTTAAGATATCAAAAAATTTGACCATCCTTATGCCACCAAAAGAGAAACTGACTCATTGTTTACACTGTATATAAAATGTGTCTCAAACAAATCTTAAACCTTAAAATGACATTTCTACAGTTAACATCCATATGTTTTGCAAATTTTTTTCAAAGAACGTTTTACATATACAACAATCAGCTAGTCTGTGCATTAGTATACTTCATCCCTAAAAGAAGAAAAGATGCTGTAGAATTCAAAAATTTGACTTTTATCTCTGTCAGACCTCTAATATTCTAAACTTTCATTGCACAGAATGTTATTATCTGTAAACTGCCATACTTTCATATCACTATATCCTATTTCTGTATTCATAGTTAATCTCCTCTATTAAAGTCTCAATAAACATAAATCTATTTCACCTACCATTTAGAAGTATAGTTAAATAGGCAAATGTTACTACAGAGTGTACATTCTGTCAAAGAAAATAATACTTCTGCATTATTTTCCTTGTGTGCATGGTGACAAAATTTTCAGAAATTTTATATATTATATTCCCAATAAAAGGAAAATGATTTTCACAGCATTTAATTTATCAATTCAAAGGCACTTAGATAATAAGTACCAGATCTAGACTGTATCTTGTATTATTAGATTTACTTTTACCTGAGGGATTTTTTTAAGCAAAGACCAAAATTCATTTATGCTATCATTTTCAGCTTATAATTTCTTATTCTAGAAACATTCATTTGTTTACTAATAAAAAAGTCACTGGGATCCATTCTGTCCCAGAAAAGAACTGGTGTGTCCTCACTGGGAACTCCCTG